CCACCACAGCGATTCACCTATGATGAATTTGGTCATCCTTCTTGTTATAGTTTGGGACTTCCACCAAGGTCCACATATTGCCTTGATCCAGTGCACTATTATGGACCCTTTCAAGCAAGGCCTATATGGCCAGGGCCAGTTCAGATGTCCACCTATGATCCTATGTTTGTGTATTGCTGATCCACCTTTTCTAGATTTGATATTGGCACTTAAAGACTTTGATTAGGTCATGTGCCTGTGTATGGACCGAGTGATCTCGCTATGGTTTTATGGATTATGGTTGTCATCTTACTCCTTTCCTTATTGAATGTCGAGGACGACATTTCTGTTGAAGGGGAGTGTGTAGTGGTTATAAAACTATTTCAAACAACGAAAAAGGAAAACAAGATCTAATGATCTGCGATCGATTATTCTGGTCTCTCAAGTTCAGCACTACAGGCAGATAAACGGTACAGATATGACAAAAGGTAGCCTAAGTTTAAAGAAGTTAAAAGAAATGTACTTTTTATTACTGTTACTTTTCTTTGTTGCTTTTCCGCCTATGTTTGTTTGTGGTTCTTGAAAAGTCTAACCTTTTGAATCGAATGTTTTGAGAGTTTGTTGGTCGTTCGGGGCTCGATTGTTTTGTCTGTTGGAATGTAGGGGGACGTAACGGTTATGCTCCATTATAACACCGGACATGCAAAGAGTAACATTGTGTCCGTGTTTTCATTACTCCCCTTTATAGGTAAAGTTCGAACTCATAAGAAATTGCTCTAACACGATGGTTGTTTAATGAACAGAGAATGTTGTGGTGATTGTTATAGCGATGTTTGTTTAATTAACAGAGAGCGCTGCGGTGATTTTGATAACTAGTTTAAGAGCTGCTATGCTATACTTAGCTTCCTGGTTAACGGCGTAGGCTACTGTGTGTGTTCGATTTGTTTTACTGTGCCGGCATAACTAGAATGTGTGTAATGTTCAATGTAACAGAGTAATGTCTGAAACTGTTTTGAAATTATAACACCGGACATGCAAAGAGTAACATTGTGTGTGTGTTTTCATTACTCCCCTTTATAGAGGCGTAACATTAACAGGAACATGTTTACCTAATAAAGTAGTCAGCGTATCTTAAGTGTCTGGCTTTTTTTCTTTCCTTACCCTGTGTCTGTATGAGATGAAGGATCTTCGCTGTGACTAGTCTTGCTGTTTCTACATCTCTCAGCATGACCTCCCCGTCCATCTTCTCCAGCTGGCCGAGGAGCATTACTACCCTGGAGTTACTGGGAACACTGGGAAAAAAAAGATATCGAAACTTGAATTCACAAAGTTCTCAACAGCTCCATGTCATACCGCTTCTGTCTCCCATGTAATTGGACACACTATGCTGTACAACAGAGGAACTGGGGTCAAATAGACAAATACATTTATATTTGATGAACTTCACTGTATTTTCTTGAGGTTTTATTTGACCCAAAGTAGCAAATACATTTAGGTCTGAGGTTGAGGATGACAACGTCAGACCTAATTTATCAGAGTGAAAAACCTAAGTGGCATCACTGCTTTTGCAAGGCACTGCATGTCAAAAACAAAGAAATATAAATAGGAACAGTCTCACTGTCCCTCCCATCGATACCAAACACACATCAGGTCTACTTTAAGATTTATTTATTATTCTACTAAAGCTGACTTAATGGCTGTTCCCAAGAGATTAGCTATTTCTGGGGTGACCAATATTTTTCTAATAATATGAACTTCCCTGGCACTGAACTAGAAGCAAGAGATTAGGGGTCACTTGGTAGAGCAAGGGCAAACAATGAAAAATCTAAACTCTGATTATACCAAGTAGAGCAGAAGTTCTCATTCCTTATAAAGAGAAAGAGAGAGACAGAGACGAAAACAGAAATAGAAAGTGAGTGATCAGGACAGAAAATTAAAAAAAATGTCAAGAATGATGGGAGAATGTAATGCATGAGCGGACAAAGAAACAAAAACAGATGTAGAACCTAAATAAACCTGAGACAGAGATGAACAAAGATTATTTTTAGCCGTGACAAATTCACATGGCTACTTCTGGAGGCCATGTAATTATCTCTGCACAGGGCTCTCTGGTACAAATACTGGCAGTCTCTCTTTCTCACATTGTCATATGTGGTGCGACCAGAAGATAAACAGAGGGATTGGACGCTGCTCTGAAGTGAATGAAAAGCTAAAACAGCACAGGGACAGAACAACATCATAAAAGCAAATCAGGAGCAAAGGAACACATAAACCAAAAAAAAATGTTTCTCTAAGCTACACACAATCCCACACATCACTGCCCCTGTGTGTGGCTGTGCACGCATCAGCTCACCCCTTCTCTGTGGCCATTTTGGGCTTGTTCATTTTTCCCCCACGTCAAAAGGTCATGTCGACTGCAAGAGAACAAAAACAAAGTCCGCATTACTAAAAGAGAACAAGTCAAAACATTGTGCATCATTTGGAAACAAGCATGATTAACCTTCATACCCCATAAGTTCCCACAGGACTCTCAACTGGAGCCGGCCAAGCAACTACGGCAAAACCAGCTGACAATAAAGCTCATCTGTCCCCAGCTTTGAATGTACTAGTCTATAAATATGTGCAGCGTTTTCCAAATTGGCAACCTGTGTATGGTCATGAAAAAGTAAAATCTTTTACAGCATAACAATATATGCAATTGAATTATAACTTGATTTCAGACTGAGAAAATGTCTGCACATGCATATTTATTTCTATCTCAAACATTGGAAAAGTCCAGAGACTCATGGTAAAACCTAAATACTTCCTCTTTGGGTTTCAGGAATTTATATGCAAGGCCTTCTTTTACTGTTAATCTTGATACTATACATTATATTTTTTAACATAGGCTGCACTCAAATGCAGAAACACTCCATTTGAGTGAAACACTGCTGGTACAACCATGAGAGGTATATAAATGGTTGAAATATTTTTTTTCTTAATCATATATAAATTATATTGAGATTTGCAAACATTAGCAAGTGCAGAACTCTCTTAAAATCCTACATTCCAACTAGGAACAGGCATTCATTACAATACAGTGACAACTAATTATGAAGTGATATTTATTATATATGTTAAACCCCAAAATTGGTTAAGATAAGATTGCTTAATTTTGCTTTTCAAGCTATTTGTGTCACTGTCAGTTATAGGCATAAATATTGCATCTGTGTTTAAAAATAAACTGCTTTGTGTCATAGTCGCAGTATTTGATGTCTTTGCAATAGTAAAACAGCCTATTTGATATTGGGTAAGATTTATATTTAGAGCATTGCTTGAGGTTTAGGGTCATGGAGTGATAGATTTGTAGGTAAACAGACTGCAATGAGTTGTGATATTGAATGAGCACTGCAACACCCCATTTCTTTTCATGTAAAGCCATTCAGGAGTCTTCTCAGGACAACACAAACTACTGCCTAATTTACCATAGTTTTGGAAATAAATTCCTGGTTGTCATCGCATTTTGTCAAGTCATGTAACTGTGACAGGAAATGTAGCAGACCCAGTGTACTATGATGAACTCATAAAATTGTTTGGATATGATTGTATAAAGTTTAAACCATGCCAAAAATGGAAAGCAATGGCCGCTTCTCTAAAATTATCAAGTAGATGTGCCTTCTACTGGGCAATGCATTAACAGGCTGAACATGTTATCAAACAGATTAGTCTTCACAACTTCATATCCAGACTAGTATATGGGGTGTAGGTCTTATGTTTAGCCCCATTTTGCACTACTCTAGATTCATTTTCTAAAATTATTCTTTTATAATTTTTCTCTTTTTTAAACACTTTTACTGAATCTGCATTGGAATTAAAACAGTGTCCAATTAATAGGTTGGAATGACATTGACAACATAAAAATGTAAAAAAAAAAATCCTGGGCATGAGCAGAGCAAGGCAGAAGTTTCAAAAGTTTAGTTTCCCCTAAAATAAATCGTCCTTGTATTTTCAGAGTTTTTATTCTTTCCTATCACTATTTAAGTCTTGCATTTAAAGCTAAATGTGAACTGAATGAACACAAAGCTAAATTATGTGCAAATTGCTGAGAAAAACACTATATTTAAAAAATAAACACATTTAGAAAGGAATTTTTTTTCACCTAAAGTTTTGTGGCAATATGGGCAGAAAGTGCAGAAGCAGCTGAGAATCAGGAAACTTGCTCAACAGTTTTGGGTTTTATTATGATTTTTTTTTTTTCACAAAATTTCTCATATTCATACTGAAACAGCCCTTCATCGTCACTATATGCAGGAAGATTTATCAGATAATTTAGAGGGATAATTATGATTTGAGGGGGAGTAAAGCTGCAGCCAAAGGGTAGCTCATACTTTCAAAAACCAGTTTAACAGCTGACACATTACCCATTCTTCTCTTCGCCAAAAACAGGCAGTAGACCGGTCTTCTCCCACAATGTAGAATTTAGTAAGGACGCAGTTTTGCCTCATCTTTAAACAAGGCTTCTGACAGCAAGTTCAAATTTGTATTTTACTTCATTGTTTATCTTATAGATGCCAAGTTGGATAACCCAGTTGAGGATTATGGCCTCTGCACCTGCTGTGCTGGTCACTCATTAACGGCCGCCTGTCTGCACCAGCAGGCCGGCTAACGGTGAAATAAGCTAGCAATGCTCGATTTATAACCCAAAGCGAGCTAAGACAAAACAGCATATTCTTACAATAAAAGCAAAATTACCATTTCTCAAACCTGCACGAAATGGAGATGCCGTCCAGCTGAGAGAGGACCAAGTCTGAGATAAGGGGGACTGCTACTGTTTCCCTGAAACGCCCTGCTGATGTGATGAGAGCAGAGGGAGTAGCAACGCGAGAGTAACGACGTCTTTCTATTTTGTTTGTTCGATGCGTAATTACAATAAAAAACGAATGTAAATCACGTCTTATAATACAACTTCTACGTTATCTTCAGTTTTTACATTTTAATTTAGTCAATTCAGCGCTACATTGTGTATAGGAGAGTACCACGTACCCATTTGGACTACAAATCCCAGGTCGACTGCAGCCTATGACGTAAAATTTATGTTCCAGACTTTACAGTGTTCGAAGGAATTAAAAAACAAGGTTAGTGCTGGTTTATAACAATTTAATGATTCGTGAGTCACTGATTTCGTGTTTGTTATATTGGAGATGGTGAAACAACATATAAAAGATTCATAATTATGTTTTATTTGCTGTAAATACGTCGTTACAAGTATTAGTTTGCACACGGTATCTGAAACTGGCGAAAGCTAGCTAACATCATCACGCGTCTTTACCATTATTACACTGTCGCGTTGGCTTCATCTTTGTGTTTGTACGTTTTAGGTAAAATGTCACGAGGTTTTTTCTGATAGCACTAGGAGAAAGCCCAAATACGCAGTTACGCCATGCATGTGCCTTACATACTGTGCTCAGACTTTCTGAAATCATATTCAATGTCCTCCTGAACACAATGTGAGATCGATTTAAATAAGCCCATACAGATCATGGCCAATAACCACTTATTGATCAAGTGTGCTAATATTTAAAGAGTCCACTCCTTAGCCAATTTAACGCGCCAGTGAATCGGTCTATGAACCGATTACTATACTAATGAAGCTAATCCTGTTTAAAATTAAAATTTACTTCGTTGCACTTTTTAAAAGTACTTCAAAAATCTCTTGCAGTCAGTTTTGGAGGTGGACTGCAGGTCTCTGTCGACCAGGGGAGCTCAAGTCAAGTCCTCCAGAGCTACCATCCTGCAACTATCAGATGCATCTCTGCTCCAACACACCTGAATCAAATGAATGGCTCGTTTCCAGGCCTGTTCAGAGCTGATCCCGGTCTGTTGGAGTAAGCTCTATAGGACTGGACTTGAGCACCCTGCTGTAGACAAAGTCCATCAAACCCAAATATTACTTCAAAAAAAGTCGTGGGGGAAACTGATTATTGAGTAAACAGTTTTTAAGCTCTGGTAATGTTACATTGTCAGATCCTTGACATAATCTTCTCTTTTCGCTTTAAGTTATTATTGGTTACCATGGTGATGAAGTCAGCAGTTGAGGATGATGATACTGGCTGGGTGCTGGGCATACCAGAGAAGATGAAGAACAATGCCAATTGGGTTGATATCACTCATGAGTTCAAGGGTGCTGCAAAGGTAAAACATTTTATTGATATTTCACTGATTGGAAATTCAGCAGATCCAGAAGGGATGATTATTTTTACAAACATGTTCTTATCTTGTTTTGCAGAGTTAAACCTCGGAGAATTGCTTCACGATAAACTGTAAGCATGACAAAATTGCATTCATTATTACGTGATTAGGTACAGCTTCTCAAAAAAACTAATCAGAATTAAGGTTTAGCTCACTGGAAAGAGGATTTGTTGTTGGTTAATATTCCTTAACACTTTTCAGTTTTACATTGTTTGTAGTTTAGTTGTTTAATGAAAACAAAATAATTTTCATATCATTTTCTTCAGAAGAGAAAAGAATGAGTTTTCTCTTATGGTGCAGGTTTGGCTTGTTTGAGGCCATGTATGCAATCGAAATGATGGATCCTAAGATGGATGCAGGAATGATTGGAAACCAGGTCAACAGGAAAGTGCTAATTTGAACAAGCAATTAAGGTACAGCAGTTAAAAACACAAAGCAAAATTGCTACCATGCAACTTACACATTTACTTTATCTGCTCTATTGTATAGAAATCTAATGAAGCAACTATCTTTGTGTAACTTGATTTACTATTTGACATTAATTTCAGGAGGGTGCCATCAAGGTGAAAGAGCTCAGTCTTCCTGAGCTCATTGGGATCATTGACACTTGTTTCTGCTGTTTGGTGAGGGTTTTTTTTATTTCTGGTAAATTGCCTATTTATAGTTCCTTAAGTTCAAGTGGGCATGCAATATTATGGGATTTCTCTTAAATTAAAGCAGTGATGGTCAAGAAGATGCTATGGTCCAGAGGTTTTCTGAGATTTCACGGGATGTAGAAAAATGTATATTAAAAGTTGATTACATCAACTACTTGCATTTATTTACTTACTGAAGGATTGAAGAATCTGATCCAAGAAAATTTTATCAAGACAATTGGTCCACAAAATTCTTAGTTCTGCTGGTTTGAAGTTTGCATTCATCCATGCTTGAGTGTCCTATTAATTTGAGGCTTTTTAATGATGAATTTTTATAAGTGGATTAATAATATATCAGAAAATGATGGTGTTTTTGACTTGTTTTTCTTCAATCCCAAATATATACATCAACCCCCAAATATTGTTTGGTTAATATTACCTTTAGCAAGTATTACCTTTCAAGTATCCATCAGCAACAATTCCCCCTGGACATTTGACCACTTTTCTTCAGTATTGATGGAGTTGGTCTTAGCTGAGCATCCTTGAAGCTTTATGTTGGCCTCTTTGTTTAATCCATAACTATTTTGATGTATTTGAAATCCTTGCCTTGTGAGAGTCCTTTGGGAAAACGTTTTATGGCCAGAGGAAGCAAAGATTGAGCTACTTGACCACAGTGAAAACTGGTCCTTGTTTTTATATTTTTTAAAGTTACTATAAAAACATAAAATTCAGTGTCATACATTGTGTGTTTTTACATGCGTTTACCTAGATAACATGGCTGGAGGGTCACTCGTTGGCACAGACCGTCTTCACCTGCCTGTATGTACATAACCCCGACCTCATTGAGGAGCCAGCACTCAAAGCCTTTGCCCTGGGTTTACTAAAAGTGTGTGACATCGCACGAGAAAAAGTAAACAAGGCAGCTGTGTTTGAAGAGGTGAGCTGTTTACCTCTCGTGCTCATTGTGGGGATAAATGTTAGAGAAAGCTACAGGTATGAAGTCTAGTCAGAAAAGCCTTGAGGAATGTATTCTAAGTCACTCATTAACACGCTGTGGTGCATTACATCTCCACTGGAGCTCCTCATTGAAGAGTAGGCCCAACTGCGACTGTACTTGGCAGCTTCCAGGTGTGAATGTGTGTAAATAACTGAATGTGGTCAGGCCATTACCTCCGAGAAAAATGATCCCTTGATAAATTTCAAGATTCCTGTGCAGGAAATTTAGTATGGGATTTGATTACTGCATGTTTCAGGTATTTACTAATACATGAAAAAAATAGGAGTGTAGAAAAATACTCATATTTTCATTCCCATTGAATAAATGTTATCTTTTGCTCCTTAATTTTTTTCATCCTTTATTCTATTTTTACCTCCTTTGTCTTCTAATTTTCTTCTCTTGTTTCCATATTTTCGTCCTTAAGTTTTTCTTGCGTGGTCCTTTCTTCCTGATCTCCCTCCTCTTTTGCCCTTCTTTCCTTATTTCCATCCATCTTCCCAGTTTCTTGCTTTTTTTCCAAGTTTCAAAATGTTTAGCCACTGAAGAAAGAAACTAAATTAAGATACAAATTGGTTAATTAATTTAATGTGTTATACCATTTGAGAAGAGAGATGATTTGAAACATTTTAATTTCATTAATGTTTAATTAATGATTTTTAACTCATGTTTTCTATAGGAGGATTTCCAGGCGATGACTTATGGGTTCAAGATGGCCAATAACATCACTGACCTGCGGGTGACAGGTGCTTATTTGTTGTATGTTGTAAACATGTGCAGTGTGTTCAGATAAATAAGATGTTTCTTTCTCTCATGCTGATCTTTTGTAGGCATGCTCAAAGACGTGGAAGACGAGTTACAGAGGAAAGTCAAGGTATTTTACTTTTACTGCAGCCGATTTTCATATTCAGGATCACTAGATCAAGTGAGAAAAAAAAAACAAGGAAGACATCAGAATGTTTTAAGTGGCCTTGGGAATCAAACATTAACATTTGCTTAGCTTCTTTCTTAATATGTTTGAAAATTTGAAACTCCTTGGCATCTGAGGAAATCCATTTCGCCTATCATTTTCAAACGTGCGTTTTCTTTTTTGTCAGTGTATGTTTTCGGTGTCACTCTGTCTATTTCGTAAGCTTTACTGCTGATCCAGTAGACTTCCCGTCTCCAATGTCACTGGTGGCTCTTTGAAGAAACAATTGTTTTTTGTTTACATGCACAATACATGATGTCCACTCCGCAATCATGTAAATGAAAAAATTTGATCTAATATTGACGGTAGGGAGACTACAGCCAAAATAACTGCATTGAGTGTGTGGGGCAAGTTGAGCCAGCGTATGGTTAAATGGATCAACTTTCGACTTTATTTGCTACACTTATCTTCAGTTTATGACCTCATGTTGTAGCTCATACATATTACAATTGACATACGAAACTAATTTTAAAATATTTCTGAAATGCAATTCTTATAAAACTTATAAATTCACTTTTAAAACTGAAAAACAGTTTTTAAGAAACAGAAGACGAACCGCTTTACCCATAAGGTTCTTACTTTCAAAAACGTTGACAAATGATGCCTTCTCAATTATTTGGTTACATCATCAATGTTTTTTCATTTTGTTATTTTATTTTTTTTACCATTTTAGAGAAACAAGGGGTGGTTCAGCTTATGCGTTGACTCAATTAAGCCCAATGTCCCCTGCTTTCTATGTCCTGATATATGTTGCTTCTCCTCGCAGAGCACACGCAGCCGGCAAGGCGAGCAGAGAAACCCAGAAGTTGAGCTGGAAGTGAGTTTACTGTGTTATACATATTTAGTATAGATTTTCTTTTAGCACATTTAGCTGTGCTACCTTCTGATGGGTGTGGGATTGCATGCAGTGAATCATATTGCCCCATTGTTGTTAATCTAATAGCTTTACACTTTTGCATATATCTCACATATTGTTTGCTATCTCATTTGTGGTCGTGTGAAATTCAAATGAGCTTTAAAACTGGTTTGAAATTTTCAGTAGCTTTGTTGTAATAAATATGGGAAATGAAATTGTCCTGAACATTAAAAATCATGTTCGTTGTTAATTTAAAGTAAGAAATACATGCCAGGAAAACACTAACATCTTGTGTATTTTCATTTTTTTTTGTAGCACCAGCAGTGTCTGGCACTTTTCAACAGAATCAAGTTTACACGCCTGCTGCTGACTGCTCTGATTGCCTTCACCAAGAAAGAGGTAAGGTGCAAACAAAGAAACGTGCAAGACCAGGAAAACAGCCACATACAATTCAGAAGCACACAGACTGGAACATTAAATATCATGACAACTGATTTGGCAATTCAAAAACCTGATCAGATTGTTATAAAACCAATGGAAAAGTCTAATAACTAAACAGAATCTGAATAAGATATTTATTCCTGTAAAAAATAAATAAGCTTTTTTTTAGGTTGAAAACATAGAAATGCACAATAGAATAGAATAGAATAGCATTTATTGTCATTGAACAGGATTCAACGAAATTTCTATTGCAACTCCCGTGCAAAAAGTCAAAAAATACAATATTAAATAAACAAATACACAATAATAATAATATATACAACTAAAATTAACTAAAGGCACTCAACCACACCAAAGAAGAAGCAGCAGGTCCAATTATGGTAAAGTGCAGATGATGTGACAGTGCAAGTGCAATGGCTGTGGGGGTGGGGGGTATGTGAGGTTATGATATGTGTGGGAGGGGCGGCAGGGAGTAATGGCTCTGACGGCTGTGGGAAGATGTGAATGAAAGAAAAACTTATTGTAATTGTATATTTACCAGACCAGCTCAGTGAGTGAGGCCCAGAAGCTTGTAGCTCAGGCAGCTGACCTCCTGCCACCCATTCATTCCAGCATCCAGTATGGCATCCAATCCCAAAATGACACCACAAAAGGAGGTAACACACACCTTGAAGCCACCAAGTCAAGCTTAAGCTTTGATATTGAAATCATTTACAAGCTTTAAGTAAACTGTGCATGAAGTTATGTATAAATTATTTGCATTTTTGTGTTCTAGATTTTTTTTATTTAGCCAATATTGTTTTTATCTTGCTCCATTCTACCAGATTTGATCTTTACAAGCTTTTTCAGGTTTTTAGTAAAAAAAAAAAAAAAATGATGAACTTGTTTGTGTGTGAAAATGTCAGACCACCCCATCATGATGGGCTTTGAGCCTCTAGTGAACCAACGACTGCTGCCACCTACCTTTCCTCGCTACGCCAAGATCATCAAGAGGGAGGACATGGTGGCTTACTTCAGCAAGCTCATAGAACGCATCAAGACGGTTTGTGATGTGGTCAACACCACAAACCTACACGGCATTCTGGTAAACACAGTACAATAAGCTACTTCAGAACACAAAATGTTCTTTTCCGTTTTGTTCATAACTTTCTTTCAGTAAAAAACACAGAAAAAGATTGTTTTTTGTCACTATTTTTCAAATGATTCTTAGTTATTTATTCTTGGCTTCTCTGGAAACCGTCCTGTAAATATGGTTTCCAGGATGTTTTGTGGATGAAGGAGCTCTGACTCTTGTTTTTTCAGGACTTCTTTTGTGAATTCAGTGAGCAGTCACCCTGTGTGCTCTCCAGATCTCTTCTCCAGGTATGAAAATACGAGTCTCCTCTTTTGTCCTCACAGCTAGTGTTGAAAACGTACCTAAAAAGGATTTAACAAAATTTCTCCAAACTGAACTTATTGGATCTCATTTTGTAATTTCTTATGTACTTTTTGAACTAGAACAGGTTTTTTTCAGTCATTTGACGACAAGCAATTATTTCCTTTTGAAATTGGCATGAGTATCAAGAAATTTGAGAACCAGGTCTTTTACCTACTCTTGAAATTGGGAAAGACAAGTGTATTCTGTTCAGATAAGACAGATGAGTATTGAGCTTCATTAGTGATAAAATGACCGCAAGGAAACACATTTTTCTTGTGGCCACTTTACTGGGAGGAGACATGGCATTATGTATGACATTAATAATCGAACTAATAATCTTTCTGAGGTTTGTATCATGGAAATTTCCAGTTGTGTCATTAGGTGGACTTAGTTGCTACATAAATATGTTGCTATTTGATTGCAAAATATGTATGTAGATGATTAAAAACCTACATACAAATTTGTATTTGTATGTAAATATATATAACCCCATGACTAATGAATTATTGGTGGGTTCCTCATGGTTCTGTACATGGGCCACTTTAAAACTAGAGCACCACCCACGTGTTGTGGCAATCACTGAATCCATATTTTATAAATTAACATATTTAAAGCTCACATAGCTGACTTCTTTGCCTGGACTTTTCTAACCGATAAAAGATATAATAATCTTGGTGTAGGAAAACTTCTGACTTTAAAGAAAGTCACAAAACATGTTTTTTTTTTGTTTTGTTTTGTTTATTTCCGTAATGCTTTGGCATTTGGCAAACACAAATGATATTGATAATCCTAAGTGACCTGAAACAGGAAATGTTTCATCTGATTTAATGTGAAGAAGGTGAGGAAAAAATGTAAGTTTGTTTATTTTTGTTTTGTTTTGAAGTGCATGTAAGTCTCTTCTTTTCAGACGACGTTCCTGATAGACAATAAGAAAGTGTTTGGCACTTACCTGATGCAGGACATGATTAAAGATGCCCTGAGATACTTTGTTAGTCCACCAGTCCTCTCCTACAAGTAAGTTTTTGTTAAATGTAGGGTATTATCATCATTACAATATTATAATTAGTAGATTATGCGTAATGTGTACAGTCTTTGCTTCTATCAGCAGCTTAGCTGCCTTTAAGGTTAGAATTAATGTTGTCTTTAGTAAATAATGTGATTTTTGTGTCCAGATGTTGTCTCTCCAACAACCACCAGGCCAAGGACTACATCGACTCCTTTGTTACTCACTGCTCCAGGGTACATTCTAGACATTCAAATTTGTGCATTGATGTACTTCCTGGGATTTTAGAACATTAGCTTAGATCATTAGTGCGGTTACAGGGAGCTGTGCCTCGTGAGATGTGATTATTACATATCAACTGCTACGGTTTCATAACACCTCCACTGAAACCTGCTGTTTTCCGGTGCAGCCTTTCTGCAACCTCATCCAGATCCACGGACACAACCGAGCGCGGCAGAGAGACAAACTGGGCCACATTCTTGAAGAGTTTGCTACGCTACAGGATGAGGTGAGATTCAGTCATTGTAGAGGTTAAACAAAATATCAGTGATTTGTTGTGCATATCACAAGCTAGATTAGCTTGGGGAGTTTAGGTGCTTTATAAGATGTTCATTTTTTTGTGCTCTTCAGGCTGAGAAGGTGGATGCAGCACTGCACAGCTTACTGATGAAATTGGAGCCTCAACGGCAACATTTGGCCTGTCTCGGCACCTGGATCCTGTATCATAACCTGAGAATCATGATCCAGTATCTCTTGAGTGGTTTTGAACTGGAGCTTTACAGCATGCATGAATACTATTACATCTACTGGTCGGTGCTAATGTATTATTTTTAATTTGGCTATATCTAAAGAAAAAAAATATATGAACTAATCAACTGTTTTTGTTTTTTTTGTTTTGTGGTTGTAGGTACTTGTCAGAGTTCCTCTATGCATGGCTAATGTCGACACTAAGCAGAGCTGACTCCTCTCAGATGGCAGAAGAGCGGATTCTGGAGGAACAGCTGAAAGGACGGAGCAGCAAAAAGACCAAGAAGAAGAAGAAAGGTGCAGTTTTCAGTCTAACCTAAGCATGATTCGGAATATTAGGTTTCCATGTGGAAGTGACATGAGGCTCCAGAGCACTGAAACTGCTTTATTGTGCTTTGCAGTTCGCCCCCTTGGCAAAGAGATCACCATGAGTCAAGCATACCAGAATATGTGTGCTGGCATATACAAGGTAGGAAACAATAAATTATGTTTTTGACACCCTTCAATTTGTCCATGTCCTTCCTCATTCTCTTCTGTCAGACCATGGTAGCTTTGGATATGGACGGAAAGGTGCGAAAGCCCCAGTTTGAGCTGGACAGCGAACAAGTCCGCTACGAGCATCGCTTTGCTCCCTTCAACAGTGTAGTTACTCCCCCGCCTGTGCACTACATCCAGTTTAAGGTAAAGTCATGTGTGACCTATTCAGCAGTCCGCCTATCCTACCGCAACCGTTTTATTTTGTTTTTCTTCCCATCTCCAGGAAATGTCAGATCTGAAAAAGTACAATCCTCCACCAGGTTCTGCAGACCTTTACCTGGCTGCCAGCAAACACTTCCAGCAGGCCAAGATTATCCTAGAAAGTGTGCCAAACCCAGACGCTGAGGTCAGGAAGTCAATCTGTTGTTCATCTGTTATGGTGGAACATTTTTCAGTTTTTGCAAGCTCTAAAAGCAGATAAATATTAAAGTATCAGTAAATAATTCAGTTTCTACAGTAATGAAATTTGATGCCTAGAAGAATCAGAAGTATTTTAAATAAAAATACCTGGTGGCTTAAAATGTTTTTGATCAAACATTAATCCCTATTGCCAATCTATGAGTGCAATTATTATCATGTTGGAATGACAACACATTTATTTCTTCTCTATTATTTATGGCTATCAGTATCAAATAATAAATTATTGATGGCAGGTAAAACGCATACTGAAAGTGGCCAAGCCCAACATAGTAGTGATGAAGCTTCTAGCCGGGGGCCACAAGAAGGAAACCAAGGTAACACGATTTATTTACAATGAAAACATCTTAGATCTATTTCAAAATGTAGACTAGTTTATGTTTTTAAAAAGAAAGCAGTCTGTTTTCTGTCAAGTAAGTTTTTAGCTGTTATGCATCAGCTGTACTTTATTGGAGTGTGATAAATTTTATTTTCCTGTATCTCCAGGTGCTGCCAGAGTTTGATTTCTCCGCTCACAAATATTTCCCTATTGTCAAGATCATTTGAATCCCACAGTCTGGCACCAGAAGGACTCAAACACCCTGACCTAGTCCATGTTGGAACGATAGTAAAATCACCCAGCTGTAACATCACATAGAGCTGTGTCTTGTCTTCTATTTCTGACTTTACTGAGGTTTTTTTTTTGTTTTGTTTTTGTTTCATTATCCCATTAAAAAGCATCTTCTGAACACTGGGATTAATGTGTGTATATCTTCATTAAATCTCTGTTTTAATGTTGGTGATCGTGTCGAGTCAAATGAAAGCATGAGTTTTTACACTGAAAAACTTAGCTTCATAATCATATTAAGGACAACAATTATTTAGTCTGCTCATAAAAACATTCACAGATAAGGTGGGGGAGTTTATTTTCTAGCTGTAACCTATGCAATAAGTCTCTGACTAATTCTTAATGTGTAAAAAAATAACTGTGGTTATAGTTTCTGTTTTTAGCTCCATTTGTGTCATTTCTGGAACTATTTTGTAAAAGGAGATATTTTTACAGTAACTTGAGAGCTGACCTTGAGTGTCATGGCCCCATATTGACCTTGAATATTAAATTCAGTTCAAAAGATCTTGTTTGGCTGACCGTCCTGTTGACTTTACTGTACAACTGTCAAGTTAGTCTCCAGTTCTCTCCATAATGACATTTCTGTATTAAAAATTATTTTTTGGTGGACTAGGTATACTGTTAGGTATACTAACTTATCTCTTAAGTTTATTCAGTAAGCTTAAGAGAAATTGGTCACTCGGTGTATATAATTTAATATTTGACATTCATGTATATACTACTAGGAAAAAGTAATCACACTTACTGTTTTCTGTCACATTTCAGATCATCACACAAATATCGGTCAAAGACAACATAAGTAAATACAAAAATAAAGTTTCAACTAATTAAAGTTACTAAACTCAGCTGGGAAAAAATAATTGCCTTCTAAATCTAATAATTAATGTCAGCAACATCTGAGTTTTTACTGATCCAAGTTTGAGAATTAACTTGTTTAAGATTACACTACTGTATCTGAACTAGATTTGAGCCTTACCTTCACTAATACTGACCTTAACTGAGGCAGGTGGGACTATGTACATCTGTCAAAAAAGAATTAACATAAGGGTCTGTAACAGTAAGATGCATGTTAATGTGAGGAACTGCACCCCTCCGCTCTACCTCCTTTCATTGAGAGGGCCCAACACACTTCCTGCTCAGAAAGGTTAACACTTACCCAGCTATCTGCGCCTGAGGTACTTAAACCCCAAGTCTGCAGTGTTCACCTCTGAGAATCTGTTGAGCTGGTTATCAGGGAAACTCGCCTGAAAGGCAATCCACATGTTTGGCATTAATCGGACTAAAGCTTTGATCAATATGAAAAACAGCTAAGCCTCCATTCAGTGTCTTTATCCTTGCAGGACACAGGCTGGTGTCTTATCTCCAGCAGTCACTGGGTGAGAGGCGGGGTACAGAGACTGGCTGCCATTCCATCACAGAGCAACCATGGTCTGTGGAAGCATCCACAGGGAGAACATGCAACACTCCAATGCTGTACAACCACAGGTTAGATCAGAATCAGAGACCTTCTTGTTATTTCCTCCTATCAGACAGACCAATAAACGGGCTATTTATAATGCAGAAAGTTAAGGCCTTGCAGAGAATCATGTCGAACCGCAGAGGTTGCCTGTACTTCAGAGCCCTCTGCTGGCTAAAGTGTGCTACAGCAATCATTCTGATCTCTTGACACCCGTGACAGTATTTCACACCCTGAAACCTAACAAAGGTATGCACATAACTGAGCTCTCAGCTAGTATCGAGTAACCATTACACGTGTCAACACATTGTCAAATCTTCTAATTTTTAGCAACATGGACATGCTCTAAATTTAGTCCAGATAGTGCCAGGCCTTCAAATGTGTTCAATGAAATGTCATAGTCTCTTAAAGAAGGAAATAGATTTCTGTGCTTCCTGTAGATTTATTAGCACATAAACAGAATGATCCATATTTCACAACTGAGAGACTGAACTTCTAACATCAGAGAAGGAATGCATCTAAAAGTTGCAGGACAGTAACTCTCAAACACTGGAGTTGGACACCTCTGCTCAAGTAAAACCTTCTGTTTTTTAGATTTCCCTAGGTCTATACTGCAAACACTCAGGTGTTGTGTTGGAATGTTTTCCTTTTCCCCCGTTACCTGTAAGTCGTGTTCATAGTGTTGGGATTGAGACAAGGCATCCTGCTCTGCTCCATGGTAGGTTGAGCTGAGCTAGTATTTAAAAATGTGGGGAAATGAATTGTATGATGTGACACTGGATATTAGAAAGAGTTTGACGCTCCAGTTTGAAAACTGGAAGTGAAACTCAAACATGATAATGGTTTTTCAGTTATGGAAATGAGACCTTGAATGTTCAGATAGCAGACACATAGCACACCGCAGACAAAGCATGAAGTTATGATAGTTCTATCTTTTTATTTATGGAGATGAATGATGGGAAAATGGGCAGCTGGACAAAAGTACTGTATTTTACTATGGTCTTAACTCATACTTTTGAAATATTTATCTAAGATTACAGGCTATAGTTTGACTAATAAGCACAAAGAAATAGGTAAATATGATAGTCATTTTAATTATTAAATAAGGAATATCTGGAAAGTATTCATCAGTTTTCCTTCATTGTTTTGCCAATCCACTCCATGTACTGGCAGATGTCCAGCATTACAATGGAGTTAGCACATGTATCCGCAGGCTGGCTAACAATAATTCCTTGCAGATATCCTTCGTACTCCACAGCTGAGCCTGCATCGCCCTGAGACACAGAAATCAGAGGCAGGATGGTTTTACATGTGGAACAGTGTCAAAAAACAAAGCTACAGTATTAAATATGTATATGTATCAGTGAAATGGTTGTCTTACAAAGCAGGTCTCCACTCCAGGTGAGAAGCCACAGATTGTAGATTCACCGTTGCTGTATTTTCTGTCAGGTTTATCTTTCTCTCCACACTCAGAGATCTCTGTGGTGGCACATCTGACCTCACCAACCGGTTTACCGCCTGATAAAAACAAAAATCCTGAAATGTCATTTCCTTTCACTAAAAATAAATTGTTTCATTTATGACTATTTTTTTTTTTTTTTAAATATTCCTACCTTTTGCCTTTGCTCCCATTCCTCCAATCTGCACTTTTGCTCTTGGCTCTAGCTTGGTGCATTCTCCTGAAGGGAGGCTGATGGTGGGAAGTTTGACTGACATGTCCTCATTCAGCTGGATGAGCATAATGTCATGGGCATTTCCTTCTTCATCTTTGAAGGTGTGCTGCTGTTTGGCCGGAATAGTTTGTTGGAGTTTTTTGGATTTGCCTTTTAACCAAGAGACAGTTTTTGTAAAAAAGGACACATCATTGTTTATGCCGAGCTTCACTGTGACTGTCCTGCAAAAAAAAAAAAAAAAAATTGTAGTGAAATTAGTGGATGCTCAAACTGTCACATCAAACACACTGCTGCAAAGTCAGTAATTCAAAAAAATAAAATAAAGCGCAAATAGAAGAGATCTGCGGATGTCTTACTGCTCTGCACAGTGAGAAGCTGTGATGACCCAGCGGGGATTGAGCAGAGCGCCTGCACAGGACTTCCCGCCCTGAGCGGACTCTATCTGGACATGGTACTGGCGATCCTTGTCACAGGATCTACTCCCAAGAATCCTCTTCTCAATAGCGTTTGATGCAGCACCTGAAAAGGAAGAAACAACAGCCATCCAGCGTGCTGCAAGTATCAAACACACAAAGCAGAATGTCTACCGAACAACTTTCAGCCGAGGTCTAAGGCCACTTTTCTGCCTGTAAGCTGCTGGTAACTTCAATTTCCTGAGGAGTCTTCCCAAGGGATCAATAAAGTACAAGTCTAAGTCTAAGTAGCTGGAGAAGGAAAAAACTCACCTGCAACCAGCAAAAGGAGTACAAAGCAATGCTCCATCGTGGTTCTTGATGAGGATCACCTCTGGTGTCTGACTGACGCTCTGTCTTTTATAGGCCTTATCAGCGTCTGGGGGACTTTTTTTTTTCTTTTTGCCATAGGCTAGCCTGGTTAGGCAGCCAATTACAAGTTCCCCTAAAACCTGTTTTATCATGGTGCATCAGTCAAATGAACTTAACAGCACAGAAGATAAATGGACGAATGGATGTGTTAAATGAACAGTAGCAACATTTTAGCAACAGGAAACAAATGAGGACAACCTCGTTCTAAAAGAAGTTCCTGTAAAGGTCACAGTAAATTTTGTCCTGTTGTTGTGGTACATTTTATGTCATTATTATAGCTGTGAAGCTTGTCAAAACGTATATATTCTTAAAATTTATGACTGCTCGTCCCCTCTTCCTGTCACCATCTGTACTGTTGATGTTAACCACCAGCTTGATTTCCTCTTTTATCAAAATACAATGAACCTGAATGTGTCGGCCATGAAATCAACCTACTGGACCTGAGATGAACAAAAAAGTGTTACATACATTCAAGAAATTTTAATACCTAGTCATATGCAATAAATTAAAATATATTTTCTAATTAAGTTTGTCAGATTAAACAAATCTTTTAAAAATAGCCTTATAGCAAGAGTTAAACCAACTTTTCATATATATCCAAGTAAAAGTTACTATATGACATAGTATTTTATTTTGCAGAGAACTGTATGTGTGAGTTTCCAGAGTTCAATAAACCTATTATTCATGCAGCAGCATAAAGTTCACACTTTATCCCTCTAGCCTAAATTTATTGCTGCATCTGGCCAAAGGAGGGTCAGAGTTTATGGAAAGTAAAACTACTCGGAGAGTTGTTTACTTAAAATGTGAATCAAATGAAGATCAGTTCACTCCCAAGTTAAATTAAAGTTAGAACTTTCAGAGATGAATGAAATCGAGAGCAAAAAGCGCTGACAATTTATGGCTGTGAGTACACTGTTAAATACTGCTAAAATATATCCCTGTAGACCTTTTGAGAAGTAGGCTTTCAGTTCATAGTCCACTTGCTGAGCTTGAATTTTTTAAACTGAAAAAGCAATGAGCTAGCAAATTTTCTTTGTACACCTTGCTTTGCATTTGAACTAACTATCACTAAAAATACTGTGGTACATTTTTATCTGAACGCACGCGTAGATAATTATTCAAATGTTTTTTGACCCAATAGATTGTGTGCTTTCACATTGCCATTGAAAGTTGGAA